ACGAAAATTACGATGTTATTTACTTAGACTTTAGCAAAGCATTTGACAGAGTACCGCATCAGAGGCTTCTGAGAAAAATTAAGGCTCATGGTATCGAGGGAAAGTTTTAAATTGGATAAAATCATGGCTCACTGATAGAACGCAGAGGGCAGCGTAGATGGTGTTAAACTGAGGGGCCGTGTAACCAGTGGGGTTCCCGTGGGTCAGTATAGCCCACTTGTTCATAATCTACATAAACGATCTAGATACTGGGATCAGTAGACATAAGCAAGTTTTGCGGATGACACCAAAATAGGGCGGCAAATTAATTCAGGGCAGGATGCAAATGAATTACACGAAGATCTAAATAAACTGCAGGTGGTCTGAAAATGGCAAATGAAATTCAACACCAGCAAGTGCAGCGTACTTAATATTGGAAGAACAAATACTTATAATGTACACAGCCTTAACAACATCAACCTAGAGAAGTCGACTTGTGAAAGAGACCTAGGGTACTTGTAAGCCCGGACCTACGGCCTAGAAAACAGTGCGTTAATGTTCGAAATAAGGCAAACAGAGTATTGGGTTTTATATCTAGAAGTGTTAGTAACAAGAGTGCAAACTTATTGCAACTATATCTTGCGCTAGTTAGCCGCACCTCGATTATGCGGTTCAGTTCTGGTGCCCCTATTATAGAATGGATGTAAATTCACTAGAGTCGGTGCAGCGAAGAATGACAAAAATGATTCCGGGACTTAGAAACCTTCCATATCAGGATAGGTTAAAGAAACTTAACTTGCATTCCCTAGAAAGACGAAGAGTGTGGGGAGATATGATAAAAGTATTTAAGTGGGTGAAAGGAATCAATAAAGGGATATAGATAAAGTTCTTATAATATCCGAGCAGGATAGGACTCGGAGCAACGGATTCAAGTTGATAAGTTTAGGTTTAGGAGGGAGATAGAAGAAACTGGTTCACAAATAGGGTGGTGGACGAGTGGAACAAGCTTAGCAACTTTGTAGTAAGTGCGGGAACTCTGGAAAGTTTCAAAAGGAGTCTAGATAGATTCATGGATGATAGAGAGTGGTAGTAACTCTTGACAGGAGCTGCCATGCACAGGCCAACCGGCCTATTGCAGACTCCTTATTTTCTTATGTTCTTATACATACATGCATGGTTGGATAGATCACAATGACCATATGTGTGTTTAGAATTGACTAGAAATTTGCATATACTCGTTAAGGTAAAGTTGTTGTTGTGTTTGTTCGAGTTATTTTTTATTTTTGTTTTTATTTTGGTTCAAGAGGACAGTTTTGCCGCAGCTTAATGTCTTCTGTTTGTACCAGCCGCAAGCTTGAAGTTTATAAGAGTCACAGTACCGCAGCTTGATGACCCCCCAGCCTTGTGTGAGCCGCAGCTTGAGAACAGTGCTGCTGCAGTTTGAGTAGTAGAGCGGGTGTCACGGAGGGGGGGTGTGGAGATAGAAAATGTGCGGCCAGGCATACCTCGCCTGCCGCTGTTACATCAACACCAGACGTCACCCTTACGTCTTGCCCCTTTGTCCCTATCCTTTGCCTCTTGCCCTTGCCTTCTGTCCCTGACCTGTACCTCCTGTCCCTGGCCCCACCTCCTGCCCCTCACTCCTTCTGCCTCCTGCCCCTGGCCCTGCCCCCCACCCTCAAATTCCCTGTTACATACAGGTCCACCTATATGTAGTGTTTGCTTACAATTAACGTTCATGTCGTCAAGAGGATTGTGGTGAATTTTAATTAGGCAACAGATTACAGAGATCTCACACAGCCAGACCCCAGGGGCGAGAAAAACCCGGGTGTTGATGTCCTGGGCAAGCGGAGCTACCCGGGGTGACAACTGGGGCCACCTTCACGTGGTGCGGCCCTGGGGTGGGTGGCCACCAACACTGGCACTGGTGGTGGTGGGTGGCCACTGGTGGTTGTGGGTGGCACTCATTGCTGGTGGCAGTATTCACACTCGTTCTGTTCTTCTGCTTTCATCTGGTGTCGACTGTTATGATTTCATCGAAACTATTTTAATCGGTGTCGGTATTTATTATTATAGTTTAACACAAGATCTTTCGTTTTGGTCATAGTACAAACACACCCCTGGTGTCTTGCTCATTATCTTAAACCATAATATCTTTTTTCTAGTTATTCCTTTATCTGTCATCAATTTTCTTTAATTTCTCTAACCTTTATAAATAAATCTTACAACAGACATAAGTACATGAGGATATTTTTCCTTTTTATATATTTATTATTTTTACATTTCGTTTTATATTTCCTCCTTCATCTTCCCATACTTTGTGTACAGGTGAGTTACAGTCGGCCGTGGGTGGGGGAGGGAAGGGGAGGAGGAGGAGGTGAAGGAGAAGGGGGAGGAGGAGGAAGGGCGTGAACGGAATAAAAACAACAAACTAGAATATGAATTAAGGAAGGATGAGAGAGAGAGAGAGAGACAGGAATAATTGGTGAAGTTAGTCGCAGAATATTGAACAGGAGGTGAAACACACACACACACACACACACACACACACACACACACACACACACACACACTCTAAGGGCGGTGACAGCTCTTTGTGTGACGAACTTAACACCATCGTCTTGAGCTGCCCTGAGCTAATGTTGTCACCGACCAGCCACCCTGCACGGTATGTTGTTATCGAGGGTTGTGTGTCTGTGTGTGGTGGGGGGGCAAAGGATACTGCCTCTCCACCTTCAGGATACTGCCCTTCCATCCACCACTTACCCTACCCTAGGATATTGTTCCTGGTTCTGTAGGATATATCTAACCCCATCCTACCATCACACTTCCTACAGGACTCGTAGGATATAATCCCTAACCTCAAAAGGATACACAAGATTGGTTACTCCTGAAAACATACAGAGTAGGGAAGCACACATGATCTACTTAGGATGCTACCTGTGTGTGTGTGTGTGTGTGTGTGTGTGTGTGTGTGTGTGTGTGTGTGTGTGTGTCTGACCTTGTTTAGCTATGGTCCTATTCTCTGTTATAGTATTGATACTTGGCTTAATGAAGCAATTTGTTGAGGTGAGGTTGAGGTGAGGTGAGGTGAGGTTGAGGTGAAGTGAAGTGAGGTGAGGTTGAGATTAGGTGAGGTGAAGTTGAGATTAGGTGAAGTGAAGTGAGACGAGGTGAGGTTGAGATTAGGTGAGGTGAAGTGAGGCGAGGTGAGGTTGAGATTAGGTGAAGTGAGGTTGAGATTAGGTGAGGTGAAGTGAGGCGAGGTGAGGGTGTGAAGGTGTGGTGAGGTGAGGTGAAGGTGTGGTGAAGGTGTATTTCAAACTAAAGAAAGGAAGAAGAAAAGAAAGACGAAGAAGAAGAAGCGGAGGAGGTAGAAGAAAGAAGGAAGAGAGAAGAAAATAATATTAAGAACCATGAAGAAAAGAAGAAGAGAAGTAAAAATAAATTCAGAGAAAAACAAATGAAAACTAATCAAGAAAAACCATATTTACCCTCTCCAGGGAACACCCCCCACCCCCAGACCTCTCACCCCCACCCAAGACCCCCCTCTCACCCCAGACCCTCTCACCTCTACAAGACACCACCAAGCCCCCCACCCTTCAGATCCCCCTCCCAACACCGCCCCCACCCCTCACAAGACCAAAGTAACAACACCGCCTCGCCATAACCAACGCAGAATTAATCACCACGCCTAATTTAATAGAACATTTACTGCCCTTCTGATCGCTCGGTTTAAATCATAATAAAGCTTGAGGATGAGTCCAATGCCCCCTAAGCTAAAGCGTTCCCAGCTTAGTATTCGTGGGTGGAGGTCCTACTTGGATCTGAGTTCATTAAGCAACAGGTGACACGGGAATAGCAAGCAGGAGATATACGCGTGTGTGTGTGTGTGTGTGTGTGTGTGTGTGTGTAAGCAGGTAAGATGTGTTGTGTGGGAAAGTAGGTGTGGTGGTGGGCAAACATATGTGACTGGAAAAATGTTAGTGTGGTGGTGGTGTTTGTGTACTGTGGTATACTGTGTGTGTGTGTGTGTGTGTGTGTGTGTGTATTAGTAATGTTTGTGGTGGTGGTGTGTGTCCTGGGGAAGGAAATAGTGTGTTGTGATAGAGGTGTGTAAACAGATGTATTGAGTACGATTATACACTGTAGTGATGGGAGCCAGGCGTGTAATAAGCATATGTACCCTGTGTGTGTGTGTGTGTGTGTGTGTGTGTGTGTGTGTGTGTTAAACCCTAATATTCACAAACACAGGTAACCCTCGACAGGTAATCCCATGGTAATTACACAGGTACACACCATCAACACGACCTGTCTGGAATTAGCTAATCAGTCAGACCTGTTGATATTCCCTCAGGTAAACTTAAGAAGGTAATAAATAACCTCTCCTTAAGAACATAATAACATAATACTACAATAACAAAATAATCACGTTGGGTAATTCAGGCCAAACACATCGACTCAGTGTTACCAGGTAAAGTGATATACCTCAGTACGTCATATTTCATCACTACACAGGTATACAGGAACGAGTTATTCAGTACAGGTGAGTTAATTAGTTCCAGGCTGTCAACAACCTTGGTGATTGCTTGAGGTGTGGTGCCTTTGTCTTAGCTGAGGGGCCCAGTGGCTGGGTGGATTTCTCACCTGGGGTTAATTAGTATCACCTGGGGTTTAATTAGTGTTACCTGGGGTTAATTAGTGTCACCTGGGGTTTAATTAGTGTCATCTGGGAGTTTAGTGTCACCTCTGGTTAATTAGTGTTACCTGGGGTTAATTAGGGTCACCTGGGGGTTAATTAGTGTCACCTGGGGGTTAATTAGTGAGTCACCTGGGTTAATTAACGAGTCACCTGGGGTTAATTAGCGTCACCTGGGGTTCCTGACAGCAAAAAAGACAATCTTGACCCCCCCAAAAAAAATTCACAAGACACTGACAATATAACACATTCTTGACCCGAAGCTATACAGGATACGTAAGGGCTACCTCACCCTCAGTCAACAGTGGGAGGGTCGACCTACCTTACGTCCGGCCTCGTTGTTGTGGAGGTTCATGAGGGCTCGGCTGCTGACCCTCCTGTTGTTGTTCAGCTTCTTCCTCTTCACCACCTTCCTGTCTCGGGCGTCCACGAACCTGGGGGGAGAAAAGGGGGTGCTTGGTGAGGGGGTAGTTGGTGAGGGGTGGGTGGTTGGTAGAGGGTGTGGGTGAGGGGTTGGTGAGTTGGTGAGGAGGGGTGGGGTGGTGGAGGGTGGGTGGTGAGGGGTGGTGGTTGGTGAGGGGGGTGGTGCTTGGTGAGGGGGTAGTTGGTGAGGGGGGTGGGTGGTTGGTGAGGGGTGTGGTTGGTTGGTGAGGAGGTGGGTGGTTGGTGAGGGGTAGGTAACTGGTTGGTAGTGGAGCGGTAGGTGACTGGTTGGTGGCTGGTAGGTGATTGGACAGTTAAGGGACAATACTAATGTTTGTTCCTCCTAATTGATCTTAGTCCTACTGGGCCTCAATCCAAATGACTCGATTCAGTTGAGTCTTATTAGAACTGAACAACACCATTGGCGTTTAAGCCTATTGGGAATAACTCAGTTACCCCTTAGAGAGAGAGAGAGAGAATTGAAGGAGGAAAGCTTTTGTGTGTGTGTGTGTGTGTGTGTGTGTGTGTGGAGGTAAGCTGCTGAACATAGGGACAATACACACACTGCCTCAAGACATTCCCAGAGTCATTAGAAGACAGCATCTCTTCCTTCACAGGAGGAGGAGGAGGAGGAGGAGGAGGAGGAGGAGGAGGAGGAGGAGGAGGAGGAGGAGGAGGGAGGAGGAGGAGGAGGAGAGGAGAAGAAGAAGAAGAAGAAGAAGAAGAAGAAGAAGAAGAAGAAGAAGAAGAAGAAGAAGAAGGAAGAAGAAGAAGAAGAAGAAGAAGAAGAAGAAGAAGAAGAAGAAGAAGAAGAAGAAGAAGAAGAAGAAGAAGAAGAAGAAGAAGAAGAAGAAGAAGAAGGAAGAAGAAGAAGAAGAAGAAGAAGAAGAAGAGAAGAAGAAGAAGAAGAAGAAGAAGAAGAAGAAGAAGAAGAAGAAGAAGAAGAAGAAGAAGAAGAAGGCTGAAGAAGAAGAAGGAAGAAGAAGAAGAAGAAGAAGAAGAAGAAGAAGAAGAAGAAGAAGAAGAAGAAGAAGAAGAAGAAGAAGAAGAAGAAGAAGAAGAAGAAGAAGAAGAAGAAGAAGAAGAAGAAGAAGAAGAAGAAGAAGAAGAAGAAGAAGAAGAAGAAGAAGAAGAAGAAGAAGAAGAAGAAGAAGAAGAAGAAGAAGAAGAAGAAGAAGAAGAAGAAGAAGAAGAAGAAGAAGAAGAAGAAGAAGAAGAAGAAGAAGAAGAAGAAGAAGAAGAAGAAGAAGAAGAAGAAGAAGAAGAAGAAGAAGAAGAAGAATGGTAATATTTGGATCACTTGAAGATTAAACATACACCCCAGTTTATTTCATCTGGTGATTAAATACCTTAACGTTACCTGGGGGGGGGGGATAAGTTAGGCTAGAAATGGTTAGGTTAGGTTAGATATGGTTAGTTAGGCTAGGTTGGATTAGATATGGTTAGGTTATGCTAGGTTGGATATGGTTAGGTTAGGTTAAGTTAGTCAGGTTTGGTTAGTTAGGTTAAGATATGGTTAGCTTAAATTAGCGCTAGGGTGTTTAATCTTCAGGTGACCCTAATACTCCCCATCTATATACTCTACTATGTTTTATTTTCGTACATATCATATATAATACACACAGCCTTAACATACTGAAACAAGAGACAATATTTTTTTAGTGTGGGAGCTAGGCTAGACGTCTCCTCCCCTTGGGCACACCACCTCTATTCTGGCCAAAGAAATGCCAAGCTAGCAGATGAATATACACACCATCCTCTCTATGTACAGTCCCCTTCACTACCGCGTTTACAGGGGCTCGTCTGGTTGTGTGCAGTGTGGCAGCCCTGTGTTTGTTTATATCCGACAAAATGAAACTCACAATATTAAACTTAACTATAGAATCAAACTAAGACACCATTAAAACATATATCTCAGTGTAATGATTTGTGGAATGTTTATTATGACGATCCCCTGTAAATGCAGTAGTGAAGGGGAATGTATATTGATCTCGGTGGAGTGAACTTAGTAAATGCAGTATCTCTTAACCTCATAATTATATTCTTTTATGTTAATGTCACGTTAGGTCTCAGGTGTCGTACACAGGAGTTATAATAGGTGGGGGATCGGTGTTGTGTTGTAGGCCGGTGAGATGTTATGTGAAACTCAAATAATTTTAGATTTTTTCAGTTTTAATTGTACAGTAAAAACACCCAGCTATATTAATATCTTTTCATGTATATTTCAAGATAAAAATTAAATAATAAACCAAATAACTAAACCAAAACTAAAAACAAAACACACAATCACAAAGACGCCATCAAAACAAAACCAGAAACTCCCATTTTCTATGTTAGGATTTTCTCTTTGATGGGGAAACTATTATAAACCGAGTTGATGCCCTGGTGACGCGCGTGTGTGTTTGTGTGTGTGTGTGTGTGAGAGATACTTCGTGAGATGTTTGTCTCAGGGAAGAGGAACTGTAATTACTATGTCATCACTATAATGAGTTAAGTGTAGGTTAATGACACTACTTAACTTGTATACGCTGCTTCTTTCTGGTTGTGTTGGATTAATGAGTGTTAGAAGTAGCGTGTGTGTGTGTGTGTGTGTGTGTGTGTGTGTGTGTGTGTGTGTGTGTGTGTAAGAAATTTAAACACTCGTATATATTAAATGACTTACATGAATTATTAAACACAGGTGAGATATTTTAATTACCTTTGAATGTATAATAATTGTTGTCATTATTTAGTATAGACCCGCCAGTTTAAATATTCCTGCCTGATAATTTATCTCTGATTATTATTATTATCCAGGAATTTACACCTAATTATTTTTAATTAATTACTTCGGCCAGAGCTATTTTACCTGTTCGGGGATGTATATATTGTAATTAAATTTGAATCACCTGAATATTAGCCCCCTCCTACTTATTTCACCTGATTAATTAACACTAATGCTACCTGGGGAAGTTGGTTAGGTTAGGTTAGGTTAGCATAAGGTAAGGTTAATCTTAAGGTGAAACAATCTAGGGAGACTAATTTTCACATGATCCTTAATTTGTTCTCATTAATTGTCTCAAATGACGATAATTACTTAAAGTCTGGAACATTTTTTTTGTTACTTAATGAAGGTGACGTCATTCTAGGTCATGGTGTTACTCCTCATTTGCATATTCGACAATTACAGGGGCTAATTACCCAGTACTCACCTCTCTTTTTCTCTTAGGTTAATAATTATAGAATCTCTCAAGTTAAGTCGTAAGATCAATCTGGTTTTTATTATGAGGTCCACACTGGAGCTCCTTAATGCCTGAAGGAGTGTTAGTTCTGAGGAGTTGGCTAAGAAAACTTCCACACGAGAGAGAGAGAGAGAGAGAGAGAGAGAGAGAGAGAGAGAGAGAGAGAGAGTCTAGTACACCTGCAGTAGTATCAAGAGACAACCTCCGTCACCCACCTTTTAGAGAGGGAGACGCCGTAAGCAATGTTGTCGGAGCAGCCCGACCACTGGAAGCCGTTTTGGGTGACGCCCCTCACCGACCTGTCGCACCCGCAGTCATCCAGCTCCCCCGACGAGCAGCGGCGGGTGATGGCATGGGCCACGCCTGCCGAGGAGATGGCGTGCACGAAGGCCGCCTCCCGGGTACCTGCACGGTGCACCACGCCTACACGTCATCACTTCTCCGTACCATACACTGGACGCTTGGGCTTATTATATAGTACTTCTTCTTATGGGGCTTCGACAAATACTATGTGATATTCCGTTTACTTGAGTCTCCCCTTAAATAGGGTCCGATACAGAACATGGATCTCTATATTTATTAAAGTTTACCCTCGTTTAAAAAATCTAACAAGCAATTATTTGGTTCTACTCTTATTACTGATAAATTTAATTACACAATCATTAATTACAGACCATCACTTATCATTACTTACCTTATTAGCGGAGTTTACTAATGATAGCTGAGCAGTCCCGTAATAAGCACTCGTGTCGTCGGCTAGTTCCACAAGTACCGCGTATTATTCCACTGACTAATGCCTACCTTAACTACATCTTTAGTCAGTTGTAGTATAGGATTTGTGGTGATTTATCTTCACTTAATCTCCATAAGTAATAGTTCATTTAAAGGTCATCAATATACCTCAGAGCTCCAAGTGGGGTCAAGTGGGGTTACAGCGGTCATCGTTCTTCATAGATACTGTCTCGTATTTACCTTACCTAACCTACCCCCCTGCAGGTAGCTTTAGGTGCTTACAGGTGAAATATACTGGGGGGTTAATGTACAGGTGATGTGGTGTAATTATAAAAAGGCTACTTAACTTAAACCTGTGTGTGTGTGTGTGTGTGTGTGTGTGTGTGTTGGTCATTGTTATTACAAGCATGACCGCCATCTATTGAGTAACATTGACATTATGGCTCTAGTAATTGTATACAAACAGTGACTAACTTAACTTGGTTCATTAACAATTCAGATTATGTAGCCTTAATATGAATTAATTATTAAATGACTTCGCGTGACCCTGACTTGAAGGTCAATCTGGACTGGCAATAGGATGACCTTCAAGTGACCCTCCTGACGTATACCACTCACCTTCTGGGAATTAAGTGGCACTGCAGGGCGACCTAAAAGATGACCATAGAAATCTGACTGTCTCTGTTGACCTTTTTTCTTCTTCATAATACGTTAGACTGACTCAGGATGACACCAAGATGACCCAGGATGACCCCGAGTGACACTAACCTTGTGGCACTATTGGGTAAGGGCCGACGATGCCTTCCCCGCTTTTTGACCTCTTCCTGTTGGATTTTTTGCGTGACTTTCTTCCTCTGCGTTGGTGAGGGTAGGAGGGCAAGTCCGGGGAGGTGTTCTGGTAGTTACTAGGCGGTGGGTGTCGTTCCTCCCTCACTTCTGGCAGGGCGGTGACGGGGACTGCTCGCTCTGTTTTGTTGCTCATCACCGCTTGTTCTGGGGAGGGGGGGGGGGAAACACTCATTATTAAGCTTCTCGTAATTGGTTAAGTAGGTTTGGTCTGGTGGTGTTGTGAGATGTGGTTATACAGTGAAACCTCCATATAACGGACTTCTCTCTATATATAATCCGTTAGATGGGGGGATGGAAGGGGCGTTGGTTCCACATCTAAAGGACCTGATATATAATGGACTGTAATCTCTATATAGTTCGTTAGATGGAGCGTTTATATCTAACGGGGCCTTAGAGATACCGGAATCTCCTCTCCATATATATCCGTTAATTAGAGGTTTTACGTGACTCTCTCTATGCATCATCCTCTGCTCACCAACACCTGAGCTGGGGGGGTAAACAAACAGGTGTGCTCAGGACTTTTGCACTAGATGATGGGAATAAACCTTTTAAAGTATAAATTGCAAACAAAATATCACAGGCTGAAAAAAAAAATATATATATAAAAATCTCACACTTCGAGGCAGATGACAATTTTTTTACTCTTCAGATGATATTTGTGTGTGTGTCTGTCTATGGATGGGGGAGGGGGGGGGGGGGGGCAGGTGTGGACTGATCGCCCTAAACATGCAGGTATTGTGTATAGAAGAGTTAAGGATGCAGTATGGTGTTCACTTTGTCATTCTGATTTTTGTATCTAACAATGGTGTATGTTTATTTACAGGTCCAGACATCAGTACAAGGTAAGTAAAGTGTTGTATACCTGCAGGTGTTAGGTTTACAGACGTCAGACAGGTGAAGGTAAGGTAAGAGTCGTGTTTTGATTTTTTCACTGCAACCCATTTTATTGTTTTTTTTTCAGATGACGATAATGGATTTTTATTTTTTTTATTTTTTCCTCTATTTTTTATTTTATTATTTACTTTTATTTAATTATTTTTATTTATTTTATTTTTTTTTTTTATTTATCATTTATTTATTTATTTTAATGGTCCATAAACCTAATACTATGATGATTTAACGTCGCTATTTTCGTGTTCCTTGTGAAAAAATATTGCTGTTGTCTGACTGTTTTGTGACCATGGTGGAAACTTAGTAGCAGAGGTGTTATTTTTGCGGCTCAAAGACGTATAACAGTGGGTCTTTTAAGTGCGTAAGAAGGTATAGGTGTTTTTTTTTTTGGCGTATAAATTAGTCGGATGTAATTATGCATAGAGTAGGTTAAGTTGTCCATAGTTATTTATTAGTTATGTTTACAAGCTTGTTAGAGGTAGGTGCTCTCTCTCTCTCTCTCTCTCTCTCTCTCTCTCTCTCTCTCGCTCTCTCTCTCTCTCTCGCTCTCTCTCTCTCTCTGTGTGTGAGAGAGAGCCCAACACCGAGGACAAACCTTCACCATCATCCACCCAGCAGCAGCATCAGGGAGAGATAATTTACAGCAGTTGTCCGTCTGTCTGTCATTCCGTCCGTCCGTCCGTCTGTCTGTCCATTTCAACATGATAACCAAGGAGGAGTTGCTGGTGACCCCCTAAACACATTACCTACCCCTTCCTTCCTTCCTTAACCCCTTTTCCTTACCTCTCTCTCCCTCCCTCGCCCTCCTTACCCCCCCCACTCCCCCTCCTCCTCCCTCCTCCTCCCCCTCCCTCCCTCCCTCCCTCCCTCCCTCCTCCCTCCCTCCTCCCTCCCCGCCCGCCCGCCTGGAAGTCTTCAGTTGGCAGTGAAGCAGGAATGAAGAGGCCGGTGCGTGCGTTCCTACTTACATTCTTTCACCGTTTTGGATTCTCAGGAGACATAGTAAATTATCTCTCTCTCTCTCTCCCTCTCTCTTTCTTTCTTTCTTTCTCTTTAGACTGTTAGAAAATGAAGTTAAATTTACGTAGATTAAGTTAAATTTACGTAGATTTTATTTTGTTACTTTAATCGTTGTTGGGAGTTAATGTTTGATTAGGTTAGGTTAGGTTAGGTGTTGTATTATTCTGGAACTGTCAGGGTGTATTCCACGTTTCTCGCTCTGTTGAGGAGGAAGAGAGGGAAGGGGGGAGGGGTGAGGTGAGGTGTGTGCGTCAGCTGAGTGAGGCACTGCCCGGGGCCAGGGAGGAGGCAGGCCCTTGAGCACGTGTCGTCAGGCGTAGGTCGTGGCTAGCTGTGTGTGTGTGTGTGTGTGTGTGTGTGTGTGTGTGTGTGTGTGTGTGTGTGTGTGTGTGTGGATCGCTGGGGAATGTAGACAGGTAGGTAAGGTTAGGTTAAGTTCGTTTAGGTTAGGTTGGGAGGTCATGTAAGGATAGATATATAAGGATAGAGTTTGAATATAGTAAATAAGAATAGAAAGCGGTGTGTTTTATAGGTAAGGACGGGGGATCGTGTGTGGATATATAGGCGAGCGGATGGATAGTTACTTGAAGTGGGTAAATGGGTCGTATGTGTGTGTGTGTGTTGATAGGCGCAACGGTCTCGAGATGGTGGATAGGTAGCTGGGATAGGGATGACGTAATGTTCCTCTCCTATTGTCTCTCTTCCTTCCTTCCTTCCTTCCCTCCCTCTCTCTTCCTTCCCTCTCCCTCCCTCCTTTCCTGCCCTCCCTCTCTCCTCTCCGCCTTTCCTGCCCTCCCTCCCTTCCTCCTTCCCTCTCTCCTCTCCTCCTTATACACAAACTCTTAACTCTTCACCTTCACAATAAACCTTCCATCTCCCTCATATTATCATACCTGAATCGTCATTAATTTATAAACTTTCCAATATGGCTTCCAGGCGATGCTCACTTGTTTTAAATATGGCTGCCAGTAGATGCTCACTTGTTTCTACCTTATTTTTGTTTACGTTTTATGGCATATATTATTTTTCATGTCATTTTTTGTTTGTATTTTATTGTTTATTTATACAATATGGTGGCACTTCAGCCCAGCACCGTGATGATGATGATGATGATGATGATGATGATGATGAGTCTTGTATGAAGAGTATAATGACGCGTATACTGGCCCAGTGTGCCCCCCCCAAGGTCCATTTGTTGACTTGTTTGTGTATACTCGGTGTATAGTTTGTTTACGTGTGGTGTGTACAGGAGGCGTCAAGCTGGTGGAGGATCCTGAGTAATGAGTCCTGAAGTATCCTACTGTGTACTTTGTCAGAGAGAGAGAGAGAGAGAGAGAGAGAGAGAGTCGAGTCGAGTATTATTCTGACGTCAGGAGCGTATTACATCGTCAGGAAGGTGTCGTCTAGTACCCAGTTGATGTCAGAAGCTTACTTCATCGTCAGTAAGTCCTCGAGCACCGCAGCTGACGTCTGTTTACCAATATACTGTGGGGTAGGGGGGGGGTGAGTCCTCAGTGTCGAAAATGGTCGCGTGATTCCCAGAGAGTTAATCTACGCAAATCTGACCTGACTTGACCTAACCTCTCCTCACTTTACCTGACCTCTCCTCACTTTACCTGACTTGACCTGACCTTCTTCGTAATTGTACATTAAATCATTGCAAATTCGCGGGGCTTAACATTCCTGTTGTCGACTGCGAATGTTTATCCCATGCCAGCTATACATACAGGCTGCAGGTCAAGACAGGCCGACAGATAGCTAGACAGACAGATGCAGGCTGTAGGTCGACACTCTGCTTTCTTCATCACGCTCTGAAGTGGAGGAAACTGCTTGTTGAGAGAGAGAGAGAGAGAGAAAGAGAGAGAGAGCAATGAATGAAATGTGTGTGTGAGGGAGAGAGAGAGAGGAGAGCTATTAATCTTTTACTGGTGAATATTAACGAAAAATGACGAGTTATTTAATGATGAATGATGACGACAGATGAGTTATTTAATGATGAATGATGATGAAAATAATTTTTTTTTCTCTAAGACGTTTTAGTTTGTTTTACATTGTTTAGTTGGTGTGTTTGTTCTGAATTGTTTGTTTACATTCAGTTAAGCTTGTTTGGAATGTTTGTTTTTTCTTGTTGATGTTTTTATAAGGAAATTAAAGGTTTAGATGGACATTCTTCTCTCTCTCTCTCTCTCCCCCCCCCCCACACACACACACCCTTTCACCTCCTGCCAAAGAACTGCACGACATACACACACACACTGACAGCTCTTCGTGACCATACCTGACACACACACACACACACACAGGTGACCCGCCATCTCTCTCTCTCTCTACAATCAAGTGTGAAAAATAGCATTGTCTTGTGAGTGGCCTTACACACACCCACAGGCGCGTAGGTTAGGTAACTGTGAGGTTAGGTTAGGTTAGGTTAGTACTAGATTAAGTTAGGTTAAGTTAGGTTAGCACTATGTTGGTTAGGTCAGGTTTCTATAAGTTAGCGTTATGGTGTTTAATCCTCGGGTTAAATAAGCCGGGGTGTCTAATCTTCAGGTGACTCTTCAGATATCTATTTCGTAATTGGTTCGTTGTTTCCGTGTGTCGGGCAGGTGTTGAGGTGACGTGTGATGGTGTTAGTAAACATTGGGTGTGTTGGTGTGAGGTGGTGATGGTGAGGGGTGGTGATGGTGAGGGGTGGTGATCGTGACGGGGTGGTGATGGTGACGAGGCGGTGAGAAGAGGTGGTGATGGTGACGGGATGGTGACGGGGTGATGGTGACGAGGCGGTGAGAAGAGGTGGTGATGGTGACGGGATGGTGGGTGGTGATGGTGTGGCGGTGGTGATGGTGACAGGGGGTGGTGGTTACAGGAGGTGATGATGGTGAACGGTAGTGGTGATGGTGACGGGTATGATGATGAAAACTGGTAATAATGAAAACTAGTGATGGTGACAGCTATGGTGATGACAACTGGTGATGATGGTGACAGGCAGTGAGAACGACATGTAATAATAGAGACACAATAATAACGACAGACCGTGACAAGTACAGTACATTCTAAGCTCCCTGCCCCCTCCCCTCCCCCCCTCCCGCCCCTCCCCCCTCCTCCCCCTCCCGCCAAACTTCCCGTACACACAGGTAACACTAATTGGCTAGGTAAACATAGTCTGTTGGTGTGACTTTCCAGGGTTGTTAGCGAGGCCGACTTAAGCTGAGATAAGCTTTTAATAGTTTCCTTCG